TAGAGTGGGCAACGCAAGAGCTAACGCAGCGCTATTCCCACTTTGATGCTGACGACGTAAAACTCACAGAACGCGGAAACAAAGTCCTCATAAGCGTCCAAGACCTGAGATTTCCTGACAAAAACCGCTGGACGAAACCACAGCCCCTTTTCGACAAAAATGGCGAAGTTAGGGGTGACGTGGCGAGATTAAGAGGTTTTCAACTAGCTACCCGAAGTGCGTTAGAAAGGTTGGCAACCCTGAACGAAAGGGTTGCGTTAGAAAAACGCGTCGAGGAGCTGCAAGAAACGTTGGAAGAAAGGGAAGCAGAATACATGAGACAGAACCAACTGCTCATTGATGCTCAAAAGAGAGAAATCAACGACAAAAATCAGTGAATGATAGAAATGAGAGAACAAAGAGACAATGCCCTGCGCGATAGAGACTAAGCCCAAAAGGCCTTCGATCTTACCCTGCAAGACCTGGACATGAGCAAGGAAGAAGCTAAAGACTTGCATATCACCATAGCCGGCTCTTTGGAGGAACGGCGGCAGTTGGTTGCCGAAATCAATACTAAAGAAGAGCAAATCCGGCAAAGAGATCAGGCTATTGAAGACTTGGAGGGGCAAATAGAGCGGCAGCAGGAAGTAGTTGCGGACCAGACTCGTCCCGAAGAGGAAAGGGAAGCAGCTCAAAAGGAAGTAGGAACCCTTCAGGAGAGAGTTGCGGAATTACAGGCGCAAAAGGACAACCTGGAAAAGGAGCTGGGGCTTACCACCAAGGAAAAGGTAAAAAGAGCCCTTTTGAAGTATGGCGTTCCGCTGGCGTTTGCGGTCGCTATTAGCACCGTAGTAGGAGTTATCCTATCCGCGCTTAAGGCTACAGGTGCGGGCGTAAAGAAATTAGGCAGTGGGCTGACGGACTTGGGAAAAAAGATGGCAGCCGGTCTTCCTGGGCTGCTGGGTTCGGTTGTTTCCTTGGCACTTAGGGCCGGCGGCGAACTGTTGAAGTTCGTGGGTAACAACATTTGGATCTTGGTTGTCGCTATTGGGGTGGTACTCCTGAAGAAGATGAAGGGCTAATCTTGTCCTTGTATGTTATGTCGGGCTTATCGTCGTCAGACGCCCGAGGTGTTCTCGACTGGGGATAAGTAAAGATAGTATTCGCACCGCCTTGATAATGCGGAACTAGTGGTATGGCGGTCATAGTAGAAATGGTCTTATGATGCCAGGTCCTGTCGGGGGTGTTAGCGTATCCGTCCGTGCTATTTATGAAAGCATAATAACCGAGATTGCTACTACCGTCAGGGTAAATCTGTAACTTAGCATACTTACAATTGACTACCATTTGAAACGTAGCCACGTAAAACGCCTCATTACTAAATGGATATGGCTGCGCCGAGAAATGAGTAGGACTTCGATTGT